GCCGTCCGTGTCCGTCCGTTTGTGAATATTTTACATTTTCAACTTCTTCTCAAGAACTACAGAGCCAATTTTAACAAAACGTGGTACAACGCCTCATTGGGAGAAGGGGAATTTAAATTGTTAAAAAAAGGCCAAGCCAATACCACAGAGAGATACACAAGAAAAAAGATGAAAATAGGTTGGGGTCATTAAAAAAGATTTTTCTAAAGAATCACTGGGGTACAACACATCCTTCAGTAAAGGCGAGTTAAAATTGATACAAGAAAGAACCAAGCTATACTACCAAGGAGGAGATAATCAAGAAAAAACAAACAAGAGGCCCAGGGGCCACAGCGCTCTCCTGAGCACATCGGCTAGGAAAAAGCACATCAGATCAGAAAGTTTACTGAGGTTGGGGTGGTGTGGGGGTGGGCATGAATTTTAACCCCCAGGGGGTCATGACCTGAACAAACTAGAATCTACACTACCTGAGGATGCTTCCATATAAATATCACTAATCATGGCTTTGAAGTACTTGATTGATTGATTGTATATTGTTTAACGTCCCTCTCGAGAATTTTTCACTCACATGGAGACGCTACCACTCGGCACTCAGGGCCATTGAGCAGGGAGGGATCTTTTTCGTGCCAGCACCTACTGCAACACGGGACCTCGGTGTTTACGGTCTCATCCAAAGGACCCGCGACTTAAGGATTGACTCCTTACTTCGCCACTCCAGAGCAGACGCTCAAACCACTGCGCCACGCGGGCGACTTGACGTACTTGAAAAGGAGATGTTAAAATGTTCCCTATATATTCATATTTAAAATTTTGGTCTGCTATTTTGGCACCACCCCAGCCCCGGGGTTCATGATTTGAACAAACTTGAATCCACACTACCTGAGGATAATTTCACATTAGTTTCGTCTTTCTTGTCTCAGTGGTTCTTGAGAAGAAGATTTTTAAAGATTTTTTCCTATATATTCCTATGTAAAACTTTGATCGTCCATTTTGGCCCCATCCTACCCCCAGGGGTCATGATTTGAACAAAAGTGAATCCACACTACCTGAGGATGATTCCACATGAGTTTCATCTTTCTTGTCTCAATGGTTCTTGATTGATTGATTGATTGATTCTATATTGTTTAACGTCCCTCTCGAGAATTTTTCACTCACATGGAGACGCTTCCACTTGCCGGTGGAGAGCTGCAAATTTTGTCCTATACTCGGCACTCAGGGCCATTGAGCAGGGAGGGATCTTTTTCGTGCCAGCACCTACTGCGACACGGGACCTCGGTGTTTACGGTCTCATCCAAAGGACCCGCGACTTAAGGATTGACTCCTTACTTCGCGGATCTAGAGCAGACGCTCAAACCACTGCGCCACGCGGGCGACTTGACGTACTTGAAAAGGAGATGTTAAAATGTTCCCTATATATTCATATTTAAAATTTTGGTCTGCTATTTTGGCACCACCCCAGCCCCGGGGTTCATGATTTGAACAAACTTGAATCCACACTACCTGAGGATAATTTCACATTAGTTTCGTCTTTCTTGTCTCAATGGTTCTTGAGAAGAAGATTTTTAAAGATTTTTTCCTATATATTCCTATGTAAAACTTTGATCGTCCATTTTGGCCCCATCCTACCCCCAGGGGTCATGATTTGAACAAAAGTGAATCCACACTACCTGAGGATGATTCCACATGAGTTTCATCTTTCTTGTCTCAATGGTTCTTGAGAAGATTTTTAAAGGTTTTTTTCCTATATATTCATGTGTAAAACTTTGATCGGCCATTTTGGCCCCACCCTACTTCCGGGGGTCATGATTCGAACAAATTTGAATCTACACTACCTGAGGATGATTCCACATGAATTTCATCTGGCCCAGTGGTTCTTGAGAAGAATTTTTTTAAAACGCCATTAATTCATAAATATATCCCCTTAGAAAAGTGAGTGGCCCTTCATTTGGACAAACTTGAATCCCCATAACCAAGGATACTTTGTACCAAGTTTGGCTGAAATTGGCCCAGTGGCTCTTGAGAAGAAGATGAAAATGTGAAAAGTTTACGACGACAACAACAACGACAGACGACGGACAAATTTTGATCAGAAAAGCTCACTTGAGGCTTCGGCTAAGGTGAGCTAAAAATAGGGTGGGGTCATTTAAAAGAAATCTCAAGAACAACTGGGCCGGAAAAGCTTAAACATGTGGAAACAACCTAAGGTAATGTAGATTCAATTTGGTCAAATTTTGATCCCGGAGGTAGGTTGGGGCCACAATAGCTAGGGAATTACATTGAAATATATTGGAAAAAATATTTAAAAATATTCTTAGGAACAACTACGCAAGGAAAGGTGAAACTTATGTTGAAGCATAATGGGGGTAGTGTAAATTTCAATTGTGCAAATCATGAACTCCGGTCACGAATGTAAGTTTTACATTGACATACATTGGGGAAATCTTTAAAAATCTTCTTCGGAAGGACACTAGGCCATAAAAGCTTAAACTTATTTGGAAACATTATGGGTTAGTTTAGATTATATTTTTTTTCAAAAGCATGACCTCCAGGCATAAGTTTGGTCCACAGTTTTTATAACATTGGGGGGGGGGGGTCTGGTGAAGAACAGCATGACTAAAGTTTTCTCAGGTGAGCGATGTAGCCCATGGACCACTTGTTATATACAAACTGCGTAGCCCAGTATAACGTAGCGATTGATATATTACAGTGATATATACAAAGGTATTCTATTGTAGCTTTGCAATTCCTTGCAGCTTTTTTTTTTTAATTTTCATTCCCTGTAGTGTAAGCAATCTAAAAATAATCATTCACGTATCAGTCAAGGAGAACAACTGCTTAATTTCCAATCCATAAACTTTTAATATGTTGATTGTTCTAATGATAAAAAAAATCATACCTATTTAGTTTTAGGCATTTTACATTTAAAGACTGAACCTTTAAAACGGAATACGTTCAAATGCTCAGAACCAAAGTAATTTGATTTACATTAGTATCAAACTACACTGACTCGGATTTTCGAAACAAATAAATTGGTAACTAAGATATATTCGAGGGTTAATGTTTGAAAATTATTGAGTCACTGTGTATATTTTTTTTTTCTCATGAACGTCTTTCGGTGAAGCTTCGCTGGGGTACCCAGCGCAGTCACGAAAAGTTAAATCTAACGAGTATACTTAAAAGTCAGTGCAGCACTATGGGAAATTCTTTTCCAGGCTGAAATACGATGGCAATTTAACAAATAATGTCATTAGCTCTATGACAAACAACATAGAAATCATATGCGATATAAAGGATGATGTGACATTACTGCTATCTGGGGCCCCCTTTTCCACGACGAATCATATTTAATCAACAACGTTGTTGGTAGTTTTCAAACATGACTCAATAAATACGACGCCTTTTCAATAGTTTCAATAGTTCAGACACATTTTAATTATAAGGAATACTGCATAATCTTTGATTTTTAGACCCTATCACAGCTAAATTCGGCCAGGTTTGTGCGAATATTTTCTTTTATGGCAAGAGAATGGGCGGGTCTTAGTACATTAATAGAGGGATATGCGTGCCCGAGAAGACCTTATATGGCTATCGTTATTATTTCGCACTTAGTCATTGTCCAATCCGATGACAGAACAACAAAACATGCTGCTTTACATTTTACGTTAATTTAGATTTTATCGCAGACACGTGGTTTTGGTCAATTTACCTGTTGTCCTTTTCTACATTTCAAACTTTTATAATGGTATATAAATATATATTTAAATAATGTAGTTATCACGTTTGTCTGAAATTCAAAATATAGAAACTTGAATCCATTGCTTGTAAAACAAATTTACAATATGATGCACTTTGACAAAACAGTCAAGGTTTGAGAAGAGCAAAGAATTGGGGAAAAAAGCACAAAAACTGTTTTAAATGCCATTTCTTAAATATTAGTAATTCTGTTGTTCAAATTCTATTTTGGAAAGGCAATTTAATTTCTGGAGAAGTTTAGAAAAGAATTTTTTGCAAAAAATCGAGTTTATGATAAGGATGAAACCAGAATCAGGAATCCACTATATAAATTTTCTTAAAGACAACGTCCAAACCCTCAAGCCACGAAGAGTTTAGGAGCAAGGGCTTTTTACATTTTTTAACGTTTTACGTTTTTTAATGTTTTATACCGTTCACGGTAGCTCAGTCGGTAGAGCGCTCGCTCCGTGATCGGGAGGTCATGAGTTCGTATCTCCGCCGCGACTGACCTAGTCGTTAAAATTGGTAGCAACTGTTCCTTCGCCATGCGCTCGGCACTTTGAAGTGAAAGTTGCGGGTCCTTCGGATGAAACCTTAAAAACCGAGGTCCCTTGTCAGCGGCAGGCGTTGGCACGATAAAGATCCCTCTGTCCTCAATGGCCCTGAGTGCCGAGTAAATGTCAAAATTTGAAGCCCTTCATCGGCATACGGTGACGTCTCCATATGAGTGAAAAATTCTCGAGAGGGACGTTAAACAATATACAATCATTCATTTAACGTTTTATCAAACCAACAATATTCACCAGATTTTTCCATCTTTGACTTGATTTATTCTGCAACCTTAAAAAACTAACACCTTTCAGAAAGAATAAACAAGGCATAGGACTATAGGATCTGCCATATTCTAGTTTACAAAGGGTTATGCTCGAAAAGTGTTCTTAAAAACAATTAGAAATTGGAGAAAAGGTTTAAAGACATGTATTTTAATTAAACAAGAATGTTTAAATGAAATTATTGACTATAAGGCTAAATCAATAAAAAAAAAGCGTGTTATATGTATGTTTCTTTCTAAGCACCGATGGCATTTTTTAATGAACAATGAATAATTTCTGGTTCTAGAAAAGAAGCTAAAATGAACGAAAGTTTACGACCGACGTACAACGACAATCAAAAACAGAAAGCAATAGGTGACTCATATTACCTAAAAAAAAAGCCAGTCTTAGTATCATAAAAAATTTTCTTGTATGCTTCATTTTCACTAGGTGGCACAGCAGACATGATTGTTGAACAGAATACTTTAGATGGTAAGCTGAAGCCAATACTGAAAGCATCTGGCGGTTTGTGGGGAGGAAATCGTGTCAATGAAGAATTTTGTAGCTTTATTTCTAAAGCCATTGGTCAGGATATATTCAATACCTTTGTGAGAGAAAATATATGTGACTTTCTTTATCTTAATGGCCAATTTGAAATTAAAAAGAGGCTAGCTACCAAACATTCGACGGATAAGATAATACTGCAACTACCCGTAACATTATCCGAAACTTTTACCGAAAAATCAGGCACAATTCTTGCCAAAACAATAAAAAATACAATTTACAGTAAAGATATTGATGTAAACAGGGGGAAAATTGAATTATCTGCCGACAAAATGCGTTCTTTTTTTACAAGGACAGTACAGGGAATCGTTGATCATGTGCGAATGATCATGAGCAAACCAGAATGCAAAGATATAAAGCATATTCTAATGGTGGGTGGCTTTTCAGAGTCACCCTTGGTCGTTGAAGAAATTCGTGCACAGTTTCCAACTAAAACCATCATAAATCCTACTGACTCGGGTTTATCTGTTTTAAAGGGTGGAGTGCTTTTTGGGTTTGATACCAAAGTTGTTACTGCCAGAGGTTGTCCACTCACGTATGGAATATCACTTTATGATTCTTTTGACAAAACAAAACACGACATGTCGAAATCAGTGATGTTGGGAAAGGAGAGAGTTGTCCTTGGATGCTTTGAGAAGATTTTTATGATCGATGAGATTGTTGATGTTGGAACTAAAAGATCCATAAATGTCTATGAAAGTTACAAAGGACAACCCGAATCTTTAAGAAAGAAAAGTAAAGAGATTGAAATTTTCTCCTCAACTGAACCGAATCCACGGTATGTAACTGAGCTAAGTTGTTCTCGTCATGGACGAATCATCGTACCACCACCAAATGGCAGGTGGCCTGACAAGGTGAAAGGCAGAATTGAATTTGAATTTGGGCAAACTGAGCTGATTGTTCGATACATTGACAGAGTGACCGAGTATGTTGTTACGGGGAATGTAGATTTCCATGCATCCGAAAATGAATTGAATTTGCTGAGCTCCTCGGTTAGAAAATCCCAATAATTTTTAAGGAAAAGATATTTTATGTCTGTGTTTGTTCATGGAGGTATAGAAATCTTACAAAGATGGTCTGACATTGCATTTATACGGTTTATATTTACATTGTAAAAATCCAAATAACTGTTGCTCTGTATCCAGGATTTTGTTGATATTTACTTTAACCTATCAATCGTAAGTAAGTTTCGTTGTTCGACGTTTGAGCGAAGACTTTTTATGTGCCCGGATCGAAAGATACGAGGCGTATATTGTTTTTGTCCTGTCTGTCTGTTCGTCTGTTTGTCTGCAAACTTTAACCTTCGCTATTTCTTTTGAACCGTAAAAGATAGAGACTTCATATTTGGTATGCATACTGCACTAGTTAAGCTCTTTCAAATGACACCAAGATCAATGACCTTGTGACCTTGACTGTGACCTATATGCTAAAAATATGTTTTTTAACTTTGTTACCGCCGGGCGCATAGTGTTTCACAAACACATCTTGTTCACGAATGTCTTTGGAATATCTCTGCTACATCAAATTTAATCATCAAAATACGTCATATTTTCAAAAAATATAGATTAAACATCTTTATGTAGATTTTTCAAAAAAGACGGATTGTACATTATTATGAGCCTCAATTACAAGAAATATGTTAGAAATCTTATAATATTTTTTTTAATTGCATGTATTATCTTTTCTGGCTTGATTGATTTGTTCGGCCATATTTCTGTAATTTGATCTTTTTCTTAACATCTGAATGAAAGAAATATAAAGTAGCTTGATTTTACTATGTTTTATCAAAATTCATTTTAGACTTGACATTTTACCCTATAGATAATTATTTTAAATAGAATATATTTTGATGACATATGCACGTTGAATATCATGTTGTTTTTTCAGATATGCACATTTTCTTTTATTACTGGACTGTACTTATATATTCATGTATGGTTGGAAAATAAGTCTTATTGTATGGAATATAAGTTGCTTAATTATTTGACCAAGTAAGCACCTTTACAATATTAAGCACAGGACAAAATTATACATGTGTGTTATTTATCAAAAATCTGTTTATCCCATGATTTATATATATTATTTTTTGTTAACTACGTATTATTGTAAAGCATCATAAATCAGTTATACTAGAATACACATGATCATATATTCACGGATTTTGTTTGACACTTATTATTTACGGATTGATTTGTCAACAGTAGTGAAGGAGAGACTGCATGAGTATTGTGCAACAATACATTCTAGAATTGGTGTAATTCATCAGGTGTGGATACTTAAGAATTCCAAGAATTTTGAAAAATTTGAAGTCAAAATTTTACCAAAACCTTCAGTATTAAAACTTAAGACTTAGCAATATGAGCTGCATGTTTGACATCGAAAATTTTTATTGCAAATTTGTGATAAACTAATTAAATGACAGAAAAATAAATCATTTATAAACTTCTTTTGTTCATATTCGCAACGGAAAATTTTTTATTAGCTTTGATTGAAGCAAAATTGAATTATTGACGTCCTGTACAATAATGATTTCTTACACATGTTACATACATAACACTGTATGTTCGGTTGTACAGAAATATTTCTTCTGAAACATTTTTAAACTTTATTTTTTGGCTTATTGGTCATATGGGTTTAAATTACATACAAATTATTCATAAAAGTACATTTTACCAGCAAAATAAAATTTTCGAAGAGACAGCTCATATTCCTTTAAATTTTATAAAATACCATTTCTCACGATAAATGAACATTCCCCTGCGAAATGATTAAGAATAATTCTTGAACTTTTAAGAAAAGTTCATGAATTGTATTCTTGAATCAGCTCATGAATTGTTCATGAAGATCCCATGAAGTTAAAATTGGACACTCATGATTTCATGGATTTTATTCATGAAAACCAAGTTCAAGAATATTCAAGAATTATTTGTTGTTCATGAACAAACTTGGATTTTTTAAATGCCTGCAAAACGATCAAGAATAATTCTTGAACTTTCAAGAAAAGTTCATGAATTATATTCATGAACTTTCAAGAAAAGTTCATGAATGATATTAATAGGTTCAATGCATTTTCATGAACTATTCATGAATAATTTGTAAAAGTTTTTTAGGAATGTACATGAACTATTCATGAATGTTCTTGCATTTAGTAAACAAAAATGTAATAAGTTATGCAAAATGAAAAACTGTAAAAGAAAATATTTTAATAGCATCTTAAAAGATTCCACAGAATTTTTGTTTTCCAATCATGGTAACAAAATCTTTGTTCAAGTAAACAACTCTGATAAGTGATAACGATAATAAATAAACTATGTAGCTCATTCCTAATAAATTATGAAAAATTTCAATTCAAACGTGACTCTTTGCAGAATCCTTAACCTTACTTGGTCAAGAGGAGAGTGGGTTCCTTATTCAGCGTATTTCAAAGTGTATGCCTAAAATGGAATGATTTTTAATCCAAGTCTCACTGTCTGGCAGAAAAGTGTGTTCAGCAATTAGGGTATCAGCTAAAAGGGCTTTCAAGGATTTTGAGCAGAGGTGGTCAAATAAAAAAATCTTATTGGCTTTCCCTGTGGAATTTTCAGAATTTCATCACTTGGATCCTTTGATCGATTACGATTCATATTTTCATTCCTTTCTTTTGTTTTTCTTCAAGAGCCTGGATTTTTTATGTTCTTTTTTTTTTGGCAGCCAGAGTTTTTTTAATCTTCTGATCTCAACTCATTAACATTATCTGTGAACTGCTTCTCTTTTCCCTACAAGAACAAAGATTTTCTGAAAATGCTCATAAATGTGAAAACTTGACTTGCATATTTGTTTCATTTAATTCTGCATCATAGGCACTGCCATATTTTAAAGCATTTCGAGCGGGAGTTTAGCCTGTTTCCCATGCCCGCCATGTTCAAGATGTTATAGGTGAACAGGATGAATGTTTCAATCTTTAATTATTAAATGTAACGTAATTTGGTTGGATTCTTACTCATAACAAAGTTTGACAAAATTTCATTAAAAAGGACATGACTGAACTCTTACAAATAGACAGTAACATCTTGACAAATATCTCACAGATTCAGCGATTGCCTCCATTTTTTTGTAACTCACCACTAATATCTGCAGTTATGAAGTAAATTGATCCTCTGGATATTCCTTCTTCGTATTCTGTTATTTTCTTCAAAGGTTGACAAAGAATGACTACGCTAATAATCCTCCCACTCTACCGATTCACTTTCCAACGTCTCGCGCGTTTCAAAGTTTGCGCCTTTTAAAAAGTGTCATGCAGAGCAAATTAAGAAATAGTTTCGAATTGTCAAGATTTTTGTTAAACAAAAAATAACAAACACTATCTGAATGATTTTTCACTGAAATTAATTTTTTAAAAATTAATATAAGTTATATCATTTATTGAATTGGATTTTTTTTTAAAATTATACCTGTAGAGCCATAGTTTCGTATTCAAGTATGGCCGCCTCCATATCAGAGGACAACAAATATTTCTTGGAACCACTCTCCCTCAAACTGAGTACCCTGAGCTATGAAAGTGTATAGGAGAATAGACTAAAAAATACGAATGTGGTTCATGTCATAGCTTCTTCACAACCATGCAGCCTGTGCTGTATCATTTACACACGATGGACAGAAAAATGTGACTTTATAACAACATCAAAATATAAAGCTTTTCGACCCAAGAATGGTACGGTACAGTACGGACAAGAGATATAATTTTTTAGTTGTCAATAAATTTATGATACGTTTTTAGGAAGATTATGAAATTTTTCCTAGAGTGTAAGTCTGTTTCAATTTCTTACAACTTGTTAAAAGTTTGACAAATAGAGAAAATTCGGTCGAACAAAGTTGTGTCGTGAAAAATGAGATAATTTAAAGCACAATTTTAATATAGCTGGCCAATTTAAATGATGAAGAAACATTAGTAATTCAATATGAGAATAAAATGCTGTCAATATTGATGCAGTGTTCTTTAAATTACGATCATGATTTAATTATAATCTCCCTTCTAGACAGTTCATAACAGAGTTTTATTATCCTAAAGAATCTAAGTTATCAATTACATAGAGTAGAAAATAGTGATTTTAACCTCTTATGTTCCCCTACTCGGCCCTGATCCCATACTTTCAAAATCAAAACAAAAGCATGTTATTAATTAAATCAGGGGCTTGTTCAACAATTGCATCTGCATGCAAAAGTTGTATTATGGGAGTAATGAGTGTTTTCTGGCGATCGTTTGTGACAATTATTTTTACATTTTTAGTCTTCATGAAAATTCATGAACATTCATTACCTTGAACTACTAAGTTTTTTTCTTTAAACTGAAAATTAACAATATTCATATTTGTTCATCATTTGTTCATGAACTATGAATTATGAATGTTTTCATGAATTTTATTCATGAACTACTTTTATGAACCTGTTAAGAATCCTTTAAGAACCATTCATGAACAATTATGAACAACTCATAAAGGTTCTTAAAATCATGAATATCATTTCGCAGGGGTTGTTTCTTTTTAGTATACAGTGGGACATGTCATTTTTAAAGCGTGTATAAAATCGAATTTCCGTGACATTCTAGTGTATATGAAGCAGAAAGGTTTACAAAAAACTAAAAATTAACACTGCACACTGAAAAAAATGTTACGAGTATAGCTCGAATTTCCTCGACAATATATTATATACAAAAATACAGTATCCTTGACCCAAGCGCCTATTGAAGATATATTCCAATTTTTTTAAATCAAATTATTCGAATTAGTTGTTAAAATATGTGTACCAAATTTGGATATAATATGACGTAAAATAAAGTTAATTACGACAAAAGTCTACGAACATTTTGAAGGACCCTCGTATTTTACAAGTTTTAAAATTGGCGTTGCGCAAACAAATGACTTGAAGTTTTCTTTTCAATCTTCAGCCTCCCTTACTTATGCAGCAATATACATGTACCATCATCACATGCTTACGGAGTTTATTTCTCTCAGTTGATTCGAGCATGCTCTACGTGTGAACAATTTTCATTATGAGTTAAGTTATTGACAAATAAGTTGCTGAAACAAGAATAGCTTTCAGCATCACACCATTACACGGATTTCAAAACGTTTTGTGAACATTTTTTTCCTACAAATGCTATATTTTGGCAGAAAATGCATTTTTGTTAGTTGTCCTCCTATATTTCAAAAGAAGTGTTTGACATATGTACCTTCTATCAATTCTGAAATTACTTTTATTGAGAAATGTCTTATATAAAGTAATTAAAACAAAAAAAAACTTAACAAGTTAACGTATTTTGCTAAACTGTATAAAGAATGCATGTCATATAAGGATTCAACACTTCATTCTTCGCCATTTAAAAGAAATAGCGCTATCCTGAAAAAAAGAAAGAAAATATTTAGGTTAATCGTGAAGATAACGAGCAGTGATTGCTCTGGTAAAATACTTCAAACAAATAAAGTCTGTGAACAGGGCAAAAACACATATACCGGTAGGATCGGGTGCCAGAGAGGAGTAAACAACCCCCTGAAGACCGACCGCACCCGCCATTTGCCTTATTGTTTGATTTAAAGAACAATTTGTGGCTCAACAATAGAACTGAATGCATTTAATAACAGAATCTATTCATTACATTCAGATGACTTTTTGTACTCACGTTCGTCTACAACGAATTTGCATCATCAAATTTAGCTGCATTACCTAAGTATATACCGGGTACTTAAAAATATGTCGCTTTTATATGAGGAGTCATACATTTCAGATATGTTAAAGACGAAGATGGAATCAAGTATAATTTCTCAGTAATTTGGGGGTTATTATTTACCGTAATACATAATGTAGTTTACTGCTTGCGTACCTTTCTAGCGTTTTTACTCCTTCCAAATCTCACCAAGTCTCTGATCCAAGTAAAAGCCCCTTGTTCGGACGCTTTTACCCATGTTCACTGTAGTGACCTGTCTTTTAAATGTTGCGTCGTCATACGACCTTCTGATGACCTTAAGCCTTTTTTTCTCCATTTTACATGTTTTATGCATACTTGATCTTTTTTCTTGTGTTTTAAAAAATGAATTATACTGCTTAATAGCCATTCTCTGTAACCACTTAAACTTCGTTGCCACGCATGGTCACCGATTTTGATGAAACTTCACCCATGCTTAGTACTTGACACCAGAAACAAATGTCGAACAAAATATCGTTGCTATGTGTCTCGGTTGCTATGGCAACAGATGGAAAAGTTTGAAAAATCGAGATTTTCAGCCACTTTAAATCTTGACTGTGGCTTAATAAAAACTACAAAAAGCAAACAAACCATTCTAACAAAAACAAGACACCTTGATGTCATTTTTACTGTAAAGAAACTGTTTAGAATATATGTCTAAGCAAGTGATAACCAAGGTTACATTTGGAATACATTTAAAATGCTGAAATATGCTGAAAAACACTCCGTATTTACTAAAGGTAGGTGTTACATGCTCAAACTCAATCAACGACTTAAGAAAAACAATGAAAATGTTTGACCTTAAGTATATAAGTATAAGCAATATTATTCTATAAATAACTTTTCTGGTTGCCATGGCAACACAGTGTAACCATGCAAAACCAGTAACTAAGATTGGGTTAATGCTACTGTCTTGAGGAAAAACATGAAAATTCAAGACTGGCAAGTATGCATCATTAGGACCTTGCAACATCAAAACCATAAGAAAAATTGGGTATAATTGCTACATTGCAGTGTTACCATGGAAACAAAGTACCAGTGCTTAAAAGTGAATTATTTTTCGCTGCATTAAGAATTAAATTGCCATTTAATCAAGAAACAAATTTAAGGACTCAGCTTGAATAGTACTTATCTGTTAGAACTGAAGTTGAATATCATATATTGATAAAATTCGATGAAAAAAACAACACTGTTGCTATGGTTACCAAGAAGGGAAAATGTTCGATTTTGTGGACTTTATATCAGTATTAAACCCTGTGTGCCAACTTCTTGCATCCACTTAGAGATTGGACGATGCTCAACATTAAAAGTCAGATTAGCTGTTAATAAATATCAATCATAAAAGTTTTGGGAATCTACATTAAAAGGTACGTATCCAAGGAAAGAAAATATTTTTCGGGTTTTTAAGCATATATTTTCTGTTTATTTCCATAGCAACGCTCTATTTATAGAATGTAATCTGAATTTTTTCAAATGGGAAAACTAGGAGCACACCAACATCTTTAAAAATTGATCATTAATTATGAGGAAATGTGCTTTTTTAAAAGATAGGATCAAATTTAAACATACAGATTGTTACTTTGAAGGCTCTCTGTGGTATAAAAACCTTGGCAACCATTGCCAACCAAAATGAAATATCATATTTTGTTAATGGTATATGTTTCAAGGTACTTTTTTCTATTATTAAATCACATTTCATCCCATAATTGCTTTTTATTTTTACCTGTATGACTTTATAAAATTCAATGAATATTTTTTTTTACTTTTGAATACTTTGTTACCATAGAAACGTATGTAATAGTTGATTTACCAAACATGTTTATCATGCATTTCAGACATCTAACCTTCAACTTTTGGAAACAGTCATTGCCAATTGTTTGCTTTGCCGCAAATGTTAACTATGGGGCTCTAAACATGTTAAAAAATGCCATTTTTCGAACTTTAAGACATGTTGCCATGGTAACTATAAAACATAGCAACCAATTTTTGCCTGATTTCAGTTTAGGGTATCAATGACTTTTATCGTAGAGAGTTTGGAGAAATTCTGAGACTATGCGTGCCACAGCTCCTATATAAAATTTCAAGTCGTTACAGAGAATGGCTCTTAATTTCTACGTTATGTCTGATATCTTTCAATGACGTAGCATATTTTTTGAAAGTAGGTGTTTGGGAGCTAGAGAGAAAAAAATCGACTTAAGTTAAATTTAATACTTGTCCAAAAAAAGGAAAAATTGTCCTAACTCGAAAATCCTATTTCTTGTTTGTGTGTGGGTAAAGATAGGGGGGAGGGGGATCACGTTTCAACTTCTTTCAGTACCAATTTCTTTCTTTTTTTCGCAAATTTACTTTATTACCCTTATTTGACAAACAAAAGGGGGGATTTCAATGGATATTGATTCTGAAAACAGAATTTAACCGTTTTTGTAGTGCAATATATGTATCTTCCTTCATTTTTCAACATCCTGTCACAAGTACAGACACTAAAATTTGGTTGTGTTAAATTGTAATTTACATGCATATATTTCACCGGCTACATTATATATTCTTCAAATTTCAAGACTAAAACGTTTTTATATAAGTTTATATATTTTTTATTGTTAAAAGAATAATAATGAAACAATGGTAATTTATGTAAAGACTTAATATGAGCTCGAGGGATGGAAAGCTACGTGCATACTTCATCTTTTTCCTGGGCTACGAAACTATACATGACCCTGAAAAAAAAATAAACAAATTATAAGACATTGTCTTGAATTAGATTCTAGATATGTAGACTAGTATAATGCACGACTTACAAGAATTTTGATACTCGGTCCAAATTTTTTGCAGTTTCAGATCCAAATCTGGGTCGCCTCTTATTCTGACGCTAATCCCATTATCCTTTGTTGTATACTGTCTGTTGAACACATCTGGATCGAAGGGCTTTTTGACCATCTGGACGGTAGTCACTCGGCCCAATTTTTCTAATTTCTTCAGAAGGAAAAGTCTTCTGTTTCCCCGCACTACATACCAATAACCGTTATGCTGCGTGACTTGAATCATAGGTAGACTGTCTACTTGGATTTTTTGAAATACGAGTTGACGAAAAGTATGTTCCATTGGTGTTCCATTTCGAAAATTTGCCTGGATGCTATCGTGTGTATAACGAATTTGAGAAGGTCTCATATACACAGTAGATTCTCCGTTTCCCATTGTGCAGCGTGTGCAACGACAACGTATAGAATGTTTTTTTCTTCTTTTTTTTTTTTTTGTTTCTAGGAAACTACTTTCATTTTCGTTTTTGCACAAGAAGAGCCCAATTTTCAGAAAATGGGAAAAAATATAAGTGCATTTCTATTGCAATTTTTTTTTTCGTATTTTCTATTGTCCTTTTTCGTCGTAACGTTTTTATTTATATTCATCTTGGATTTCATTTGAGTGCCCAATACATACTGGGACTGTTACAGTAACTGGATTCTCGGGGGGGGGGGGGGGGGGCATTTTTTGCCGAATCAGTTTTTTTTTTAAATTCATGCTCTTGCAGGAAATAACATATAACACCAAAATGACCAGAAACAAAAAGAAATTTTGCCAAAACTTGAAAAATAATCCTTAACTTCTGTGTGTGGGGGGGGGGGGGACCATTTTTTTCCCGGATAAAATTCGGTAATGAAAACTTTAAAATGTCAGAAAGGAGGAGATGAATATTTTCAGCAAAAAAATTTACCGAAATGAAGATTTTTTTAATTTGCATTATATTTAATAAAATTAAAAAAAAATGACTTAATAAGGCATGTTCTTGTTTTTTAAATAGCATGCTATGCAAACTATGGTATTCAAATGATTATAAATACGAATGAACATTTTGGGTTATTAATTGTGGACGTTTTAAAATACAACTGCCACAGTGACAAACATCAACGGAACAAAAAAAGATATTGATTTGTTTAACAAATGAGGATCAAACCGATAACCTAACAATAAGTAATTCAGACATTTAAAAAATGTCTGCTTTACTAAGGTTTAGTGGTGTATTTTATGAATTATCAGAATGAGAACACGCGACTGTCTGAAAGGTTCCCGTTGTAAGAGAAATGTCTTGATATGGCTGAATCACCAAGGTATGCGATTTAATATTATCAATTTTGTTGAGGAACAATAAGATCTATATATCTAAAATATTCTTGAAAAGTTTAGGATAAATGAACAGATAGACATTTCTGGTTGCTTTAAGAACTATTAAAAAAAAAACAGAAACTTTTGTTTCAGTCTGAATATATATAAACTATTTTTTCGGGGGGGGGGGGGGCAAAATCGCGGAGAGCGGAGTCTCAACTTATGAAAGTGCATTAATTAATTTAATTTCTATATTTTGGAAAAGGAAGGCTTGTAAAAACAAAAACTGAAAGCGAGAATCGGTACTTACATGTAGTTAGCTGTATTCAGGCGCGGATCCAGAAATTTTTTCCAGGGGGGGGGGGGGGTCCACCCAGTCAAAACAAAAAAAACAATTCCAATCCCAGAAATTTCTTGACAAGCAAAAAAAAAAACAACGTTAACTCGCCCAAACGTAAAAAATCTATTTCGTGGTGGTGGTGGTGGTGGTGGTGGGGGGGGGGGGGGGGGGGGTAGGCTTTGACTTCTATTGCCTCCATTCTTTCACTTTTCATACCCATTTCACACATATTCATGTTCACCAGGGGGGGGGGCAGCGTTTTCCAGGGGGGTGGTCAAGGTGACTTTTCTCTTGCTTTAGTATATACATTTTTTAACCGTCGAAATTCCAGGGGGCGGCTGACCCCACCCCCCCTCTAGATCCGCGCATGGTATTTTTTCTATTAGCAAATGTTAATTCCATGATTACATACATGTATACTATATCTTTCTTATTCATGTTATTTGAGACATTCCTTGGCGGAATTAAGGCCACACATGACCAGGAAGTACGGGACTTCATATCTTGACAAGATTTTTAAACTTACGAACAATAGCCCACTGCGAACTTCAACCGTGAACTTTAAAATTTGGTGTATTCATTGAGTGCGATAAATATATTACTTTTTGTATATTGGCATATTCATGAAACTGTCTAAAATACAGGAACGATAAATGCTGGTTATCTAGCTTTTAACCCCCCAAAACAGGCATCATTTATTTTGTTATAGGGGCCTACTGAATGTCTATTCTCTTTAGAGAAGTAGACGGGCTATCGCCTACATCCACAGGATGTAGGCGATAGCCTGTCCACTTCTCTAAAGAGAATAAATGTCTTCTTGATTTAGGATGTCAGAAAAAAAATCGTCGATCGTCTTTACGTTCACGTTTAGAAAGCTTTCAAACTCCACGCTACTTCGAAAAAGATTTACTGACCTCTCTGTTGCTTATTTGATACTCTAAGAGTCCTTTATCATCTAAAGTTTCGTTATTTCTGCACTCGCAAGCATGTTTCGTCTGTCGTTTCGCAGTTATGATAAGGCTGTCCGAAGGCTTAAAATGTCTTTAAAATATATATTTTATTTTGAGCTAGATTTTCATTTTAATATCTGATCCTTGTTTGAAATTGCGGTCAACTTGAAATAACAGTTTAATCAGGTATTATAATAAAGTATTTCTGTGATGTCAGATGACTGTGTTGATCACGTGACGGGCATTTTTGATATTTATACCCGCACTTTCTAAAGAAAGTTCGGGTATATTGTTGTTACTCATGTCCGTCCGTCCGTCTGTCCGTCCGTCCGTCCGTCTGTCACACTTTCCTTCCCTAAACTCCTCTTACATTTTACACAGTAGGCTAATCATCTTTTGGGAGATGGTTGGGGGTGTCATGTAGATGTGCAGTAAGGTTTTGGAATTTTGATTTTGCCCCGGGGGGTCAAATGGGGGTCGAAAAATGACGTTTTTTATGCAAAAAGCCCCGTCTTCCCTGAACTCCTCTTACATTTTACACAGTAGGCTAATCATCTTTTGGGAGATGGTTGGGGGTGTCATGTAGATGTGCAGTAAGGTTTCGGAATATTGATTTTGCCCCGGGGGGTCAAATGGGGGTCGAAAAATGACGTTTTTTATGCAAAAAGCCCCGTCTTCCCTGAACTCCTCTTACATTTTACACAGTAGGCTAATCATCTTTTGGGAGATGGTTGGTGGTGTCATGTAGATGTGCAGTAAGGTTTTGGAATTTTGATTTTGCCCGGGGGGGTCAAATGGGGGTCGAAAAATGATGTTTTTTATGCAAAAAGCCCCGTCTTCCCTGAACTCCTCTTACATTTTACACAGTAGGCTAATCATCTTTTGGGAGATGGTTGGTGGTGTCATGTAGATGTGCAGTTAGGTTTCGGAAATTTAATTTTGCCCCAGGGGGTCAAATGGGGGTCGAAAAATGACGTTTTTTTGCAAAAAGCCCCGTCTTCCCTGAACTCCTCTTACATTTTACACAGTAGGCTAATCATCTTTTGGGAGATGGTTGGTGGTGTCATGTAGATGTGCAGTTAGGTTTCGGAAATTTGATTTTGCCCCAGGGGGTCAAATGGGGGTCGAAAAATGACGTTTTTTTGCAAAAAGCCCCGTCTTCCCTGAACTCCTCTTACATTTTACACAGTAGGCTAATCATCTTTTGGAAGATGGTTGGTGGTGTCATGAAGATGTGCAGTAAGGTTCCGGAATTTTGATTTTGCCCCGGGGGGTCAAATGGGGGTCGAAAAATGACGTTTATTATGCAAAAAGCCCCGTCTTCCCTGAACTCCTCTTACATTTTACACAGTAGGCTAATCATCTTTTGGGAGATGGTTGGTGTAGTCATGTTGATGTGCAGTAAGGTTTTGGAATTTTGATTTTGCCCCGGGGGGTCAAATAGGGGTAAAAAAAATGAAGTTTTTATGCAAAAAGCCCCGTCTTCCCTGAAATTCTCTTACATTTTACACAGTAGCCTAATCATCTTTAGGGAGATGGTTGGTAGTGTCATGTAGATGTGCAGCAAGGTTTTGGAATTGATATTGCCCTGGGAGGTCAAATGGGGTTGGAAAAATGACATTTTTTGTGCAAAAAGTCCTGTCTTTCATGAAGTCCTCCTTAATGTTACTCAGAAGCCTAATCATCATTTAGGAGAGTTAAATATCTTGAAAATTATGTAAAACATCAACATTAAAGAGTAAAAAAACATTGCAAGCTGGGAAACACCTTGAATTTTTATGAGTAATTAATGTACATGTCAAATGTGAGAGTCATATCTCATCTCAATCAAAAGTTATAAGCAAATGCAACATTTTTGAAAAGTAGGTTAGGCTTCAAGGTCAAGGTCACAGAGTAAAAGTCATGATTCATTTGGAAAGATCTTATCACAGATAATAATATACATGCATTATAATATGAATGCACTAACTTTTCTCTTTCACAATGATGAATTTATAACAATTAAATTTTTTTACAAGTAGGTCAAACTTCTAGGTCATATGTAAAAAAAAAAAACATGCCATTCTCACAGGTAAATACTAGTACATTAGTTTAATATGAATGCCTTGTCTCTTCTCATTCAGTAGATATGACCGTGATGACCAAGGTTAATTTTATTCAGACAGAAGGACAGTCTGACATACAAATGTACATATTTCTATATGAATTGCATGGGTAAAATTGGACCAGTGGTTCTAGAGAAGTTAAAATGTAAAAAGTTTTCAGACAAACAGATGGACGGCATGTCACGACAGACGTTATATGATAAGGAAACCAGAAAAGCTCAAATGAGTGTTTTGAAAGGGTTACAATATGGTTGCAGTATTTGAAAAGCTGTTTTTTTTTCATGCAGAGATATGCATGACCAACATATTCATGTTTTATATTTTCTTAAGTAATTTGTTTGTTTGTTGTGAATATATCTCTCTCGGGAATTTTTCCCTCATATGGAGACACCACCAAATAATAATGAAGAAAAGATGTGTTTGTGAAACACTGATGTCCCTGTATGGAAGCCTATGGCGAAGGTTGAAGTTTCTCAAATATATGTCAAACTCAAAGGTCAAGGTCAAAGGGTTCAAATTGTTGGTATCAGAAAAAAGTCTTGTCACAAGGAATGCACATGTGAAATAAGTAATCCCTAGTACTTCCTGTTCAAAAGTTAATTGCCAAGGTTAATTTTTTAAGTGGTTCAAACTCTACAGTCAAGGTCAAACATATTTATACCTGTTGACAGTTCACAATGAATACACATGTTAAGCATGAAAGCCCTAGTACCTACTGATCAAAATTTAGGCCAAGTTTAAAGTTGGGTATTTTTCTTGTAAAAATGTGTATTCTAGGTCAAGTGATCAGAGGTAAAAATTAATGTTACCCAAATAAAAGGTCTTAATTGTCACAAGAAATAAACCTATAAAATGTAGAAGCCATTTGTATAGCCCATCCCACTTAAAATTTATCGGCAAGGTTATAATTTCTGCAGACAAATAGACAGACATAAAACACAAGAAACAAAATATGTACATAATTAGTCAAATGGAAAAAAATATACTATTTAATTGGAATCACAAAATAGATTGTTATTTCAGGGATAGGGAGTGGGTAAGGAAATTGGACCCCCCCCCCTGGAATTTCCTTTGTTATTTAAACAAGACAATATACTGAAGCAAATAAAAAATGACTTTGGACATCCTCCCCCTAACTTAGAAAACATTGACCCCACTATCATTGTTTTTATTTTGTTTATTTGTTTTCAGTTTATGAGTTTTTTCTTCTCCTGCTTGTCAGGATATTCTAGGCATGAATTTTTTGACTGAGATGTGAACCCCCTCCCTACTCCCGAAAAAAATTCTGGATCCGCACCAGTATTGGCAGTAACTGAATCGACATCGACAAGGGGAGATAACTTCACAACATGAAATTCGTCTAGTGTGGCATGCGATGATCTTTGACCCTTTTTGAACTTTAACCTAATCGTTTGGGTTTATTTTACCCCCCTCTATACTTAAACTTGTACTTACCGACCTCCATAGGTCTTGTAAACTTCATGAAATTAATCCAATTATAGCACAAAATGAATTAATCCAATGCACACCATTCTGCAGCATGTTATAATGCTATTCCATTTGGAAAACCTTCGTGCCGTCGATTCCGTCACCTTATCAGATGAATGGGAATCGGCCGAGGTGTACCGAATGGAGTTTAATCTAAAAATATGATAATGGGTGACGCAACGTGATGTGATGTAGAATTTACATGTCAAGAACAAATTTTAAATTAATTCATAACAAACAATGTTTTAACAAAACTGTTCCATCTAGCCTATTCCAAAAAGTATGTACTGTGTGTGATTGTGGTGTCGAGGGGGGGGGGGGGGGATTAGTAAATTTAAAAAGGTCCTATTATGAGCAAAACATTTATCAAAATCTAATTTACATCATTAATAGAATTCAAACTGGTATATAATGAATTAAGCATGTAAAATAAATATAAGAGGTTCTGAGTTATAGGTCACAGGGATAATTTCATACCCAATTTGATGAATACATGTAAATTACAGGCACGTAGCAACCGGGGGGGGGGGGGGGGGGGGGCTGCCCCCCCCCTTTTTTTCCAACATTACCTGTACTATAAGAAAATGTCCATTGAAAAGATGGTTGCCCCCCCCCCCCCCCACTTTTTACCACAGTTTACACATAGCAAGGAAATATTGGGAAAAAAATTGGAAGTGAAAGTAATTTTTCCTTGAAAAAAAGGTGGCCACTACCCCCCCCCCCCCCCCCCCCCCCCCCCCATTTCATTTTTTTTCCTTGTTAATTTTTTTAGGTAAGAAAAAAACATTTTCTCCGGTTGCCCCCCCCCCCCCCACTTTCAAAAACGATGCTACGTGCCTGAATTATATAGAATTATTTTGACTTTCTCCTTGGTAAGCTGCCCGTAGGATTGTGTATTTAGAGGCAAACACCTTAGTGCGGGTATTACTGTCTCATGACAGCATCTAGTTTTAAATGTTGCACAAAAATCGCTTCGGCACAAGTGCAAAACAAAATTATTGTGCAAAGTTTGTTACATACATCAATTCATCGTGATCCATGGTACATAAAAAGTGCTGGGGGCAGGTTTAATTTTTACTTCTTAAGAAAATATTTTACGATAAATTAAAATTACCAACGTAAGAAGGGGCATTTTCCACTCTTTATCGCGATTTATATGAAAACGGATAAAGTACATACGATCCCCCAGCAAAATTCAGTTACAAGACATACTTCTCTTTTAGATTCACGCAATATATCTTCAATTTATTCTTGTCTTTCACTTGTGCCAGTCCAATATACACACGATTCATGAATTCTAACTCTGTCTACGGAAGTGTAAAGGGGAGCGTTTCAAACATAATTTTTTGCTATTGCTTGAATATGTGCAGATCAGATAAGCAAAAGGAATAGAGAAATTTAAATATCAAATGTTAAAGTCATATACGCTATATGAACGCCGAATTTTGTGTGAAACAAAATGATTAATGATTTGAAACACACGAAGTGTAATGAAAAATAATACTTTCCACAAAATTGTACTATAGATGTCGTTGTAATAACAAAACAATTAAACAATATCTAGGAATTAAGAACTCAGTCTTTTCATGAATATTGACGAAGGAAGTGCGTAAACAGTAGGCCTATATATAGAAACACATGTCCACGGGAATTTACAGACAACGAGGTATGTTGCATTTTGACTACAGTTATCAATATAAGGTTAATATGCGTCATAACAGAGAAGATGGTTGATACTGAATACATTAAAAGATAAGTACCATTAAGTAAGACGCTTGCCATCCACGTCAAAAGTGAGTAGTATCTCAAACGGCCTACCTTGTTTTCTTTACGCCACGTGTGTTTATCAATCTAAAAGTAGCGACGGCGTCACGTGATGGGTTTATTTAAAAATAGCTATTTTTCTTTCCTTGCAGGATAATAAAAAAATATAATTTGATAACTTTGTAGCGCGTTTAATTTTAATGGTGTAATTTACAGTATTTTCGTAACTTTTATTGATAAACAAATTATATCAATTTCCAATTCTATTTTAATTGGCGCAAGTTATAGCGTGTATACTTTTAAACATTATACAGCTCACACGAGCTTAAAAACAACCCTTACTCTTGAATTAAACACAAGTCCCCATAATAAATCTACATGCCGTATAATAATTATGACACTTTCCCCGTCATGTCAGCTCAAGTATGCACTGACTTGACGTCATATTCTATTATGACGTCATATCTAGGTAGTTCAGAGAAGTTACTACAGTTTGAATAGTTTGATATTTTACGGGCAGCCTTATCCTAGCTGCGTTGTTGTTTTCAAGAAAGCTACATCGGACGCAAGCTTTTATTGACGTCCAGTTTATTCCAGTTCTTTCAAACGCACAACTGACGTTTTGAGAATTCTACGGTGAACCGTACGCGCATAATTTCAACGCATGTGACATTACCGTTGTCATCCGGAACACATCGGGCCTTTCACAGAAAAACACGTGTTTTTCAGTGAAAGGCCCGAGGTGTTCCGGATGAACGTTGTGTTACCCGTTGTCACGTGTGTTGCTAAGGCTGAGGGTAATAGAACAGATTGTTAACTGCGTTTAAACCAATCAGATTTTAGTACTTAACATGAAAGTATTATAATAGAGTTTGACATACTTTTGAAAATAATATTAACCTTGACCATAAATTTTGAACAAGCGGTGCTAAGGCCTTTTCTATCTATTTTTATTCTAGTAAGACGGTCCATGCAAAGAAATTAGTTGCCTCAATAGATATAGGGACGGCTTATACCGGATATGCTTATTCTTTCAATAAAAAGCCATACGATATCACGGTAAGAAAATGGACGGCAGATGGCGTTGTGTCACCTAAAGCGCCATCTTCAGTCTTACTCACACCGCAGCTGACTTTTGATTCCTTTGGGTATGAAGCGGAAAGGAAGTTCTCCGATTTATTTGCTAAAAAGGGTCATAAAGATTGGCATTTCGTCCAGAGTTTTAAAATGGCACTGAATGAAAAACAGGTATGTCTTTGATCTAGTACATGTACATGTAACTTGGCAACTAGAGAAAGAATTAATACAAAGAAATGGATTTTTGATTGTAGTTTTCTCAATATGGTGTCAACTTTTAGATATGTACAGCGTAAAAATAGTCATATATTTTGAAATAATATCATAATTGATTATTCTTTTTTCCCTTTGTTTACATTCCTTGCAAAACAGGACATTGTTGTTGAAATTGGATATTTTAAACTCTTCATTCCTCCGTAAGGGTCAATGCTATTAATCTATTTTTCTCCGTTTTGTTTATTATTTTTCAGAAATTTGATATAAATTTCCTAACTATAACCGATATCCAGAACCACTTTGTACCAGCTACAGCAGTGTTTACCGGGGTCATAGGTTATCTAAAGAGAGACTTAATGGAACAACTGCAGAATGGAGGTCATCGCTGTAAGATGGATGACATTCAATTTGTTGTCACCGTACCTGCCATATGGAGTGATGCTGCAAAGCAAGCAATGGCGGATTATTCAGCATGGGTAGGGTACAATCTTGATTTATATATCAGCGTTTGTTTCTTTGTTTTTTGTTGGTGTTGTGGTTTAACTCTCCTTCGAGAATCTTTCACCATGTTTCCCTTCATTGCTGATGGCCATGTCACATCCAACGCACTAGGAAGTGATTCCTTTAGTGTATTTACTGGAAGAATTCATTTCGTAATTTTATTTTTCAGATAGGAATCAAGAAAGAAAATCTTATAATAGCCTATGAACCGGAAGTAGCAGCACTACACTGTCTGGCAATTCCAGCCAATCAAGTCACCGTGAGAACAAAAGAAAACATCGCCATGATGTTTCAACCCGGATGTTGTTTTCTAGTTTTGGACCTTGGTGGTAATTATCTATATATTATATACATTTGAAATCATCAACTCTCATCATTAATTTATACCCCAAAAAGAAGAATCTTAAAGTCGATCTATGATCCCAAAATGGTAAACTGATGTTTTTTTCTTATTTTAAGGTGGAATGGCTGACATAACAGTGCAGAAGGTGGAGAGGGATGGAAAGTTAAGTCAACTTCACGCTGCCACTGGTGGGAGTTGGGGCGGATCATCATGTGTCAACAATTCGTTCTTTCAGGATCTCATGAAAAATCTAGGACATAAAGTATATCAGGAATTTATGATGAAAAGTATAGGCGATTATTTTCTTTTCAGGAATCAGTTTGAAAAAGCAAAACAAAACTTCAAAAACAATCAAGAAGGGGTGGTTTTGCAACTACCTTCATCTTTAGAAAAGATAACGAGAGAGGTTAATGGTAAAAGTATTGAAGAAATCCTCAAGGAGCTGGACACGCATGAGAGTTTGGCTTACAGTGATGGACAATTGAAATTTACAGCAGAACGTTTCAAAGCCTTCTTCTCACAAACAATTCAATCCATCATTGATCAAATCAGAAAGGTTTTAAAGAATAAGAAATGTAGTGAAGTAAAATATGTCCTCATGGTTGGGGGGTTTTCAGAGTCCGACCTTGTAAGAACCAGTATAAAAGAGGCCTTTCCTGGAGTTGGAGTAATTGTGCCTGAGGAGGCCGCGCTCTCCATTTTAAAAGGAGGTGTGCTCTTTGGGCATGCGCCTGACACTGTACGATTTCGAGTTTGTCCGCAGACGTATGGAATATCTATGTATGATTATTTCAATCCAAAGGTACATGACCTTTCTAAGAGTTGCAAAATCGGAAATGCTCAATTTGTTGTTGGATGTTTCGAGAAATTTTTTGAGAAGGATGAAATTATTGAGGTTGGTCAGAAAAAGAAAATTCGGATTGCCGACGACTTTACCAAACAACCGGAGGATGCTCGAACACAAAATAAGGAAGTTGAAATGTACTCTTCCTCTGAAAAAGATCCAAAATTTATCTCAGATCCAGGATGCATATTACAAAGCACTATCGTTTTATCGCCACCTGGTGGAAGATGGCCTGATATATTGAAAGGGAAAATAACTTTTGAAGTAACCGTGACCGGACTGAAAGTTTCTTTCAAGGATAGAAATACAAAATGTATCAGTGATGCTGAAGTAAAATTCACAGAGCCTGCCACATCAACCGAAACTAATCCATTAAATCGATCTTTCAGGAAAGATATTTCATGATTAAAAAGTTTTTGATTTGAAATTTCAAAATAAAATTTTGATTGATTTATCAAATATATCTCTGTTTATATTGTTTGAAAAGCATTGTATATCGATATCACGTCAATGCAGAAAAAGGTAGTAAATCTTTTTAATATAAGAATTTTGTTCTCATGTCTTACAGTCGGAAAACAGAAATCTCGAAATCCATTTGCTACACAAGGATGGCAATAAGACCATAAACTCGATGCGGTCTCAATGATATGATTTTTATTGACTTCTTGGCCGTTGTTTTCTTGGGAGCCTTGGGTATTGTAGGATTTTTTAGCTGCTTTTATTTACTTGGGAGACTTAGTAGCTGCCTTCTTCTTGGGAGACTTGGCCTTCATGGGTGCTGCAGATTTCTTCACAGCCTTTGTCTTTTTTGCTGACTTTTTCTCTCCGACTGCTTTCTGTGGTTTAGTCGTCTTCTTGGACTTGGCTGCCTTAGGTTTGGTGACTTTTTGGCCTTTGGTTTCTTTTCCGTCTTGGGCTTTTCTCCAAGCTTGAAGGAACCGCTGACACCTGTACCCCTGGCCTGTTTGCGAAGTCCCTTCTTGACTCTGTTCTTGAGTGCCATCTTCAGATGGGTGTTGACACTAGTAGCATCATGACCGACTTTGTAGTTGCCCATGACTACTTGAAAATAGCTTGTCCTGAAGAACCTCTGCGCTCCTTGAGGGAAGTCACGGCAGCGCTGATCATCTCGATATCGGCCGGGGTGATCTTAATGGGTTTGGAACCTCTTTGCGGGGGACTTTGCTGATGTGGCATCTGCCATGTTTTGTTTTTCAGATGTTGAACGTCGTTGTCGTCGTTGTCGACGATAAGGAATTGAAGAAAATCACGACTGTTGATGGCCTTATTTGAGTGCATAGAGTGAAGACCTCCTCGAAAACTCCCCATTTGTCTGCAGTGTCGAAGACCAAAGAATGACTGCACTTAAGGACGTTATTTGGAACCTTTTTACCCATTTTAAGCTTAACATTAAAATATATCGCTAAATCAATCTATGATTAATGTGCAAGCATATGTTTTTGATATTTATTTTTAGAATTTTTCGTCATGCATATTTCTATAATTACATACAACGCTATTGAAAAGAACATGTTTAAGCCATAAATTCCGGAAAATTGAACTGGACCGCTTTCGATTTTAAGGTGGCAGCAAAGGGGCGGAGACATTTAAATCGCATGGAAATGGATCATAAGCACATGGTTTTCCGTATTTGATTTACATTATATATGAAAAAGGCGGAGAGGAGGGTTTTGTGTTCATTGTGTACAAAAAATAAATGATTTATAACCGTGCATATAATTTCATTAATTTGTATCCACGTAAGTAAGTAAAGTAAGTAAAGAGCAGAACATTAAGAGAAAAACAAAAAGTTCATAAAAATAAAGAAAATTGTGATAAATATATGTCTGCATTTTGTACGCTTAGGTTTGTAGTGTCTTTTTAAAGAATTATTGGTAGATGAAAATGACACTGAAATATATTTTTATTTTCTGAACATGATGGACTGTCTTAGCGTAAATGAAAAATAATTTGCAACCTGTCTATAGGATAATATGAAATAAGTACACACAATAAATCCATAAATGACATGCCATTTGATTACTGGCAGAGATAATTTTCAAAATTTAAGAGTTTTGATCTTTATTCAGAGTACAAAGGAGAATGCATTAAAGAAAATGAATTTCGGCTTCTACATTATCAATCACTGCATAATTTTCTCTGTCTAACGTTCTTTTAAAATTGTAATACTTAAAATCTCACTGCTCATGTATTTGCTGTCAAGCAGCGAATTAACTAAATCTTAAAATAATTATATGTGTTCGAACCTACAGTGTATTAAAAAAAAAAGACATTTTCACTTTATCTTAATCATCTTGAATAATAATTGTGGACTAATTTAATTAGTAACGGAAAAATAAAATAAAAAGTTTAGTTTTTTTTTTTTGGTGTGACTGTGGGCTTCTACCCTGACCTAAAAACGGTCGGGCTCCAGTTTTCAAAATTTCTGGATCCGCCACTGCTATATGTACAGCATGTAATCGGCAAAATAATACCCCTTTTCTTTTAAATGCTCCGAACAAAAACACTATAGTGAAAGAAGTCAACGTAAACTTCAAAACGCCAATAAATTGTACGCAATGATCTTCAATGTTTTGAAAATGGAAGTACATGTAGATATAAAAAGAATTTTCCAATGAAAGCGTATCGAACACTTGAATGTCACGTGAGAAAAGTGATTATAATATCAAACGGGTCACATGGGCTGACACTCGGTGACTTGCTAATTTAGTAGCTAACTCGAGCGAAGTTTGGGTACATTTTTTTAAAAATTAGATATGAGCCGCAACTTGACCAACACTGTCCTTTGGATATGTATAGGTTTAAAGTAAAATACACATTCTGTGCAAATAAGAAAAATAGTCAAGTTGCGGCTCGATGTAAACAAAGTCGTTGAAAACTGGTATGCATATGAATAACAATAGAATTGAGACAAAACTGTAAGACCCCCGTCTCAAAAGATAGTGTCGCTCGGCATTATTTAATACTTTCATGTAATATAATACACCAAAACCTGCTCTTAAGACATTATTTAATACCTATTAAACATAAATTTAATGAATTTTGGAACTTTATTTTGCGCAAAACATCGGGTTCCAACTCTCATAGCTTAAGTGCAGTCATTCTTTGTCAAACTTGTGTTTCAGTCCCTGCTATTTATCCGATATCACTAAAATGAGTATTGGTTCCAAGTTTGGGAATACATAGGGATCAAAGGGGGGTCAGAAAATAGGTCAGTTCTCGAATTTCTCATTTTTATGCAATTTTTCATCGATTTTACAGCACATTTTGTTTCGGAAAACATAGAGCACAATCTTGCCCATCGTCGCAAACCACCGCCAAAATGTACGATCTTCCCATTCTGGCCGTGGTTGAACGAGGAGAGAATTCTTCGTTGCTCATCAAAATGTTGACAATTGCGAGTAAAGCATAGTCGGATAATAAATTTTATCCTTTCAATATCAAATCGCAGTATAGGAAATATTTTTCTTGTATACTTTTGACGTCAGTTGTTGATTTCAATTGCGATGGAAACAAAACTTGCTACAGACTGAATATAGTGTCATAATAGAGAGGTGTAAATATTCAAGATTACGACACTTTTTGTGATCAAGCAGCCACGGGTAGGAGAGAGTTATATATATGCGGACTCCGGACCGTGGCTTGAGACGATGAAGCTTGCCTATCTACCACATGTTTATAAATATATATTTTATACTGTACGAGTATCAGATGCGGCTTATGTGCAAAAATTTCAAGCGTGTGCTCTATATTTTCCTAAGAGAAATAGTGAAATTCCACCAGAATTTTGGAAATTCTGGAAAATGTCCTACTTCTGCATCCTCTAGTGGTTCCCTTGTAGGCTTTGAATCCAAATTAGTGCTGGTTTCAAAGAAAACATCGTTTTATTTTCTTAACTACAAACTATCACAATTTTACCAGTGTTCTGCAGTATGAAAAGAAACGTTTTCGATGATCTCAATTTAAGGACCAAGAGGGCAATTAAAAGAAGTGTTTTGTTGTGGTAACAGTGAAAGAATGTGTTCACACGGTTATTAATATTTTGAGGTGACAGTTTAAAATCACAGAGAAATAAATCGAGAAAAGGCGCACCTTTTTGTGCGAAATACTAGTGAATATACAATTTCGTTCAATGGGTGGCACAGTACCGGTAGCTCTCCGGTCTGTCAGTATTATTTTTTCGGATAGCTACAGTTCTGCAGCTATGCGGAAGACCAGCTCCAAATGACGGGGAAAAATTCTGGTCTTCTTGTAGCGGGAAGCGTTGCCTGCATGCCAACTCCAAGACTCCGGCGGCCACTCAAGAACGGTAGCCAACTACATGGGAGCGCGCCTGCTCCCACTCTCTCGGCGAATATAGTTGCCTCAGCAGAAGGCGAATTAACGGGGAACTGCAGCCCGGCGCGGGAAGAACGACTCTTGGTCTTCCCCTTGACTTTGACCCCTTTGCCACGTCCAGACATTCTTAACTATAATTAAGTATTTCTTTATTATTATACAAAATTTATAGAGCGCCTTATATAATACACAGAATTACTCTAAAGCGCTGTACAACATAGTTAAAAATACATTTATAAATACAATATCAAGAATAAAAATTTTGTTAAATAGCATAAGAAAATAAAATTTAGTATTGATAACCATCATAAAAATTAAAAATATTTTTACAAAATGATGATTAAACGATATCAAAACACGAAAAGAAAAAACTGCATACAATAGAGTATAAAAAATAACAGAAGATTAAAAATAACCAAATAAGTCAGAGATCTTTAAACATGAATAAATGAATAAAAACAGTCTATATTTGACACATAAAGATAAAACTTTAACCGAATGCTTCCCTAAAAAGATGAGTTTTATGATGTTTTTTAAAAGTGTTCAAAGATGGGCATAAAACTAGATGTGGCGGTAAAAAGTTCCAGAGGGATGCAGCGGCCACGTCAAAACGTCTATTCCCGTAGGCTGATGTTCGACAGTGTGGTCTTTGCAGTGACAGCTTGTTTGCTGATCTAAGGAAACGACCAGGTTGTTATACGGTGATGAGCCCTGCAATGTATTCTGGTGCTATGTTGTTAATTGCTTTGTAAGTATAAATAAGAATTTTGTACTGAATGCATTTTTCAATTGGAAGTCAATGAAGGGAAATGTGCTCCCTCTTCCTGGTACGAGTTATAATGCGTGCTGCTGTGTTCTGTATTCTTTGTAATTTGGCTATTTCGGTCGTATTTATGCCATAGAGGAGAGCATTGGCATAGCCGAGCCTAGACGTCACAAGAGAACAGACCAGGGTCTTGCTGGCATCTTTTGTAATCAATGGACGTATTCTCCAAATATTCCTGAGCTGGTACATGTAATAGCATGCACGAGACACGGAGGAAATTTGCATTTGCATGCGAAGAGACTTATCAAATCACACCCCGAGGTTCTTTACACTGGTCGCCTCTCTCACGATGGTGTCACTAAAGTTCAGATGGTAGACTCCTTGATTTGTTGTTTC